GGGGGGCAGGGAGGTGTATGTACATGTGTGTGTCCGTGTGTGTGTGTATGAATACTTAGCACTCTAGAATTACTGCTTACTTAGCGGAAGTGAATTAAATGCAATAGTTAGGGAGCGGGACTTTAGTCTTAAACCGCCCGGGTAGAGAAAACTAGAAAAGGGACAACAGAGGGAAAGGCACCGACACACAAGTGCGCCGAGTACCATTTCCCTCTGTTATCCTAATTAGTGGGCGGGAGGGGTTGGAGTGTTTGGGGTAGAAACCGCGCTTGGGTTCATTCACCGTATAAGCCCGGCGGCTGTTGATTCAATTAGTTGAAAACCGTATAAGCCCGGCGGCTCGAAAGTCAGTTGATCCAGTGGTGATCAGTTAAGAGAATCCAACGAATGGTGGAAACGAAGAATCAGTTACACGAATTCCGGAATGAGTACGGCGCCTCCTTGCGGAGGATCACAATTAGCACCCAAGTGGGACGGCTGAGCGGTTCACACTCTGACATTGGTTTTCTGTTAACTCAGTTCCCAAGCTGAGAAGGAAGGTGAGGGAACGGAAAGGCGCATGAGTCCGCAAAAAAAAGGTATTGTTGAACATTGTGTTGAAATGCACTCACAAGCGGTCAGCGCCCGGCAGCTGAAAGCGGCGGATGGAAATGGTTTGGGGGCAGTATCGTGGAACCACCATGGAAGCAAACAAGAGAGATTGGAACAGCGTGGGCAAAAGTTCAAAAAAGTCGCAGGTACGCCAGACTGATCAGGTCTGGTATCACGACGACATGGATGAGTCTTCGCTGGCTCGCGCCATCCATGCGTCCACGAGCCCCCTGCTTAGAAACATGAATTCGTGGTGGAAAGCCCTTAGGGACAGGGTTTGACACACACTTATGGATATGCATACTGACTTGACAGCGGCGCCACACGCCAGCCTAAGAAACCCAAATCCTGAAAGGTCCAGGAAAACCCTCCCTAAAGAGCCTGGGGGTCTTCAAAAGGAAGTGAGGCCAAAAACTCAAGTCGAGATCGGACGACAGGATGACGACGGTCGCTCACAACTGCAGAGCGCACGACGGAAAGCTTAAAAGTTGAAATGCAATGGAAAACGCAGGTACGTGAGAGTGATCAGCTCTCATATCCCGTGCGTCAGGTAGCTTCGTTGGACATGGTCCCTGAACGCACGCCATGTCCCCCTGCTAAAAAGCTCAAAGACACAAAAAGCGAGAATAATCCGAAAGGATCCCTGTGATTCCAAGGGTTACACACACACGCCTCCCCGAAGGGAGGCATGTGTGACCTCCATCCTGCCCGGAAAGGAGGTAGGCACATGCGCACGCAAAAGGGACAGATGAAAATGAGAAGGACAAGACAGACAAAGGTGTGCGTGGTTGCCGATGAAAAGGAGCCTAGTGAAAAGGGGCAACCGATGAGCCAAACCTCATTGAAACGAACCTGGGCCACCTGAACCTCGCTGTAAGTAGAGTACGCGTGCGTGTATGTGTACAAACTAAGGTCCGGACGATAGTGCGCGCAAGAGAAAAAAGGATGAGGATGAAGAGACATGAAGACAGAAAGACATGAAAGAAAAGAGGAAAAAAACGTCTGGGGGGGCCGATGAAAGGGGAACCAAATGACGAGGGGCCAAACCGAAGACAAACCAAACCTCATTAGAAAAACCTGTTGCAGAAGCCTAGTTTGCTTGTAAACACGCCGCGCGCGAGGAAAGAGGGCGCAGGGGGAGGAAGAAAAGAGAGGGAAAGAAAGAAGGAAACAAAGGTGCTCCCAGCTACGACACATGCGTCCAGGGACACACCAAAAGGAAGGGCTCCCAGCTATGACGAAGCATCCAGGGACACCCAGGGAAGAGGGTGAAGAGAGGAAAGAGAGAAGGAAAGAAAGAGAGAGGGAGAGAAAGGGAGAGGAAAGGAAGGTGTTCCCAGCTACGAACAATCGTCCAGGGGCACACCAAAGAATGAGTCAGAGAGGGGAGGGGAGATCCTGAGTAGTACATTCAGGAAAACCCCAGAAAGCAAAAAGAGAAAAGGGGGAGGGAAGGGGGATAAGGGGGCTAAGTTCTCCACAGATTTCAATGAACCTTAAACTGGCTTTGACCGCTGTGGTCACCTTGTGCCCTGCCGAAATGGCTGGCTGCTTTGACCGCTGCGGTCACGTAAAGGCATGAGCCAACTTAGAATTCCAAAGATGGGAGAAAATCATCGTACGTTCGGCCTAGGCCACCTGCTGTCCGCTGCGGACATCTGCGTTCCCAGAGCCGGGGGAACATAGACAAACCCCCGTTCAACGGGTCCACGGACGGGAGGCACTCTGCGGGCTCATCCCGGACTCTCACTGGGAGAGACACACTTATGGATATGCATACTGACTTGACAGCGGTGCCACACGCCAGCCTAAGAAACCCAAATCCTGAAAGGTCCAGGAAAACCCTCCCTAAAGAGCCTGGGGGTCTTCAAAAGGAAGTGAGGCCAAAAACTCAAGTCGAGATCGGACGACAGGATGACGACGGTCGCTCACAACTGCAGAGCGCATGACGGAAAGCTTAAAAGTTGAAATGCAATGGAAAATGCAGGTACGTGAGAGTGATCAGCTCTCATATCCCGTGCGTCAGGTAGCTTCGTTGGACATGGTCCCTGAACGCACGCCATGTCCCCCTGCTAAAAAGCTCAAAGACACAAAAAGCGAGAATAATCCGAAAGGATCCCTGTGATTCCAAGGGTTACACACACACACACTTCACAACTTGGCCCATTGTCGGGCCTGCAAGACAGCACACTGGGCTTACGTCCACAGTTGAATTCACCCAACTTCCTACTCAATACACCGACCGAACCAAAAACTCACCCTCACTGGTGTCCTCCGTTCTCCGGGGGCATTCGCCCTCTTGTCTATTGATTTTGCTTGGATTTGACGACCTGCTTCGAGCCCACGACCTCGGCCCCAGTTGGGGCGATCGGAGAGTCCCCCACCTTGGAACTGCAGCCCAACAATCTGGCTGCCACTGGGGGCGATGAAGCTGCGCCGCTTCCGTGCTTGAGAGCCCTGCGGGGCACTGGTGGACGAGGTCGTTCGTGCGCACCAACGGTCCCCGGTAGCAACAGCCAGAAAAGGAATGAAAAGGACACGGCGAGCTGATCGGTGCCAACGATCGCCGATGCGGCGCCTGCAAGGCCAGGACATCCCCTCTGGAGGTATGGAAGGTGATGGCAAGGCCCAGAAAGTCGTGCCTTTCCTGCGCCATGGACCAGAAGAACTGGGCGCAGTTCTCAGTGGAAACGTCGATAGCCCACATGAGGATGGTTCAAATGGGATGTGTCCCACCATGCATGGGATTGTCAGTTTCTTGTAGAGGTTGGGTCAGATTCGCCCAGGCCCCACCTCACCCCCACACCTTCAACCCGCAGTCCTCCTGCAAAACAGCTGTGATCCTCTCATCTGGCCTGGTGAAAAACGACAAGCTAAAAAAAAAGGCCCCCATAGAGCTGCTAGGCTTTCACTGCATCATGGCCCGCTGCATCATCCCCCCCCCCTGTCACTCGCGCAGCCGGTGATGCGGGGTCTGCCTCAGCTGCCAGTGGTGCTGGATGTCTCCACCAGCGCCTCTACCAGCGCGGCCGGCAGCGGCACACGGATGAATGACAATACTGTAGAGTGCTGGCAAAAGCTCGCAAACAGCTGAGCAGCTGATCCAAAGCATCCCTGAAGAATGTCATTTTTGTGCTGCAGCAGCAGCAGCAGCAGCACCAGCAGCAGCAAACAAGTTGCAGTTGAGCCGAAAAAAACTCGAATGGAGGACACCTCGAACAACACCAGGCCTTGAACCTCCACCTTTCCTGCACCCAAGCCGCAGCACAGCAGAAAGCAACCGCTGCAAAAGGGGGAAAAACATATTTCACTCACAAAAAAACGAATGGTATATAGGTATTGTGAGCTCATGTTATTGTGCACATGTTTGGTTGCCGCTTGCTGGGACCCACTCTGCAGCTGGTTTTCGGGCGATTGACACCAGGTGATGGGGGGTATATCTTTTCCGAAGCGGGTGTGGCGAATAAGACGAACAAACCCAACAAAAAAGTCAAAACAAGCGGTAAGTAGTCACGAAAACTGGGCACCTATAGCACTTCCGAACCTTTTGCTGGGTGAACGAACGAACCCGGAAAAGACGCAGAAGCTGCTGTTGAACACGGTCCGAACCACCTCCTTCGATCTCACGGTCCGAGTGGCTGCCAAACGTCAAAGTTGTAGTCCCATTCCGAAGCTTCAGCTGCAAGTTATCAACAGCATACCCTGTACCTCGGCAAGAGCAGAGTCAGTCCCTCTTGGACCTGTTGAGGAAGCGGATGTTGGAGGTGGAGTTCAGGCGAACCAAATCGAAGGCCTTCGTGGAGACTATTGGAGGGCATCATGTGAACAAATTGAGCGGCCTCTTGCAGTCTTTGAGCCCCCTGGACCCATTGCAGCTGGTGAAGACATGACATCAGGTCCTCACCTACCTAAGAGTCGCAAGCCCTTTTTGGGGCAATGACCAACACACGTTTCCAAGCACCCAGAGTCACTTGAAAGCATCTGAATGAGGAACCGACGCTTTGGGGTGTCCAATTCTGATCGGCCCCCAACAGCTGCTGTAGCAACTCTTGGGATGGCTCAGATCTAGCGACTTGCCACCGGGTTGCAGCCGCTGATCTCTTGAATGACACCTCGCGGTTCGCCAGCTTTGAGCGCAACACCCTCATTTAGTGCCACCTGCACAGGGCAGTTTCCAGCGCCAGAGGTGCTCCCATCCACAGAAGTGTTCAACATGTTCAACCAACAAATGGTTTGGAATGTGCGAAAACGCCCTTGGATGGCGCGTGGAGCAGCTTGGGGGCTGGGGATGCTGGGAGTGTTCGGCTTCCTTCCCAGGCCGGACCTTGGAGCACTCAGCTGAGCAGCTTGAAAACCATGGGTGGTGCATACACTCAACTTGGGTGAACCTGGCACAAGCAAGCTTCGGCCAGCCGGGGTCCAAAAAACCGAATGTGGTGGGAAAACTGCGAAGACTGCCAAGGCGAGGCCAGAGAGGCTAGATGCCAGTCGAAGGAAACACAAACTGAATGACGCACGTTGAAGATTCCAGTTTCACTCACTTCTACCAGGTTTGGCAACGTGGCTGCATGCCCTACCAGGACACCGCTTTGGTCAACGTGGCATCTTTGGCAACGGAGTCATGCACAGGCCCTCGCAAAGGCATGAGTCCTGCCTTGATGAAGAATTGATGTTCAGTAGGCCTCCCACCAAAGCTCTGACCTGCAGGTTCAATCCACTGGGCCATGTGTTCAGAACCGGCTAATGCAAGCGTTTGCAAACCGTTTGCCTGGCATGGTCCCACCAGTTCACAGCATACATTCGGCATGCCTTACACAATCAAAACTAGAAAGTGGTGTCTGCTCAATGAGACGGCGATGGGTTCAATATAGCATCGGTGGCTTTCTTTTGGGTGGTCCGGGCCCCTGTTGGGACTGGCTGAGGCTCAAACAGTCAGACCATGGTGTTCGTTTGCACTCCATTGACCAGGGAGTTTGGATGGTTTGGGGTGCCATAGATGCTTTCGTTGTCGTTCAGCTGGGTGTGGCCCCAAAAGCAACAGTGAGAAGCCTTGCCTCTCTTGAGGCGTGCTGCCATGAGCGGGAAGCCTTGATCGTCGAGACTACCTGTGGGACGCGTCCAAACGAATGCGTCCCCGATTTCGGGTGGAAAGGGGGGATGGCGACCTAACTGTTGAAGAATGTGCATGTAGAAGTGTACGAATGTATGCATATTTATCTACATAAAGTACATTACATTGCGTTAAGTTACATTACGTTACATACCATACCATACCATACCATACCATTACATACATACCATTACATCACATAAGTACCAATACATCACATACATACCAATACATCACATACATACCATTACATCACATACATACCATTACATACCATTACATACATACATATATATATATATATCATACATGCATACCTACCTACCTACCTACGTACATACCCACCTACCTACGTACGTACGTACATACATACATACATAAATACATACCATACCATACCATACCATTACATTACATTACATCTTACAATACATACAATACATACAATACATACAATACATTACATTACATCAATACATACAATCCATACAAAACATACAATACATACAATACAATACAATACATTACATTACATCTATGCATACATACATACATACCATACAATACAATACAATACAATACAATGCATAAATTACATGCATTACATACATTACATACAGTACATACAGTACATACAGTACGTACAGTACATACAGTACGTACAGTACGTACAGTACATACATTACATTACATTACATTACATTACATTACCATACATACATACCAATACATACAAATACATACCAATACATACCATTACATTACATTACATTACTTTACATTACATTACATTACATTACATTACAGGCAGACAGACAAACATACGTTACATACATACATACATACATACATACATACATACATACATACATAAATACATACATGCATACATACATACATACATACCATTACATACCATTACATACCATTACATTACATTACATTACATTACATTACTTAAATGACATTACATTACATTACTTTACTTTGCAGTGCATTGCCTTACATTCATACATGCATGCATACATACATACTTCTGGAGTGTTCATACTTGTTTCTGTGTGTTCATTGCGCAGGTCCAAGTGAAATTACTGTTGGAGGACAAAATGGTCGAGTCGAAGCCACCTCTCTGATTTGATGTCCCCATGAATTGTGGCAATGTTCTTCCTTTGGAAATATGTTTAAATATGTTGGAGCTTACAGTAATCTGCCTGGTCTTTACACCAAAAGGATTGGAATCTAGGCTAAGCCGTTGAGAGGAATATGAAGCAGTCGGATGAGCAGGTCGGATGAAGGTCGCAAGAGGTTGCAAGACTTCTTTAGCTCATGGTGACAATGTTAGATCCCGAAGCTCTCCTATATCCGAAAGCGGCTTTGCCAACCCCATGACCTCCCACCCCACAATCCCAGCCGCAACTGGAAAACCTTTCATGTTGACCACGCGCCAGTGAAAGCCTGAGACCTGCTTCCAAGCCCCAGCCAGAACAGGAAACCGTTCATTCTGACCTCGTCCCCGTCACCGAGTCACCGCCTCCTTTCTTAACCCGTACTACCACTCCATCCCTGCCAGCCCCACCGCCCACAACAACCAGAAATCTTTCCGTTCTTACCGAAACATTGCCACTCCATCCCTGGCACCCCCACCGCCGCAATCGGAAACCATTTCCATTCTGACCCTTAAATAATAAATAAACCACTTCCGAAGATCTGATGACTAACGTTTTACTCACAAACTTAGGTGTTTTTGTTTCACCTCTACCTCTTCATGAATCTTGATGCAAATCCTACCTCTTCCCCGGTTGGTGTGCCTTCCTTTTCCCACTTTCCCGCAGGCGTGCCTCCTTGTGACGTTCCGGGACCAAGTCCTTGCTCCTGGCGGCCGACCGCTTGGAAACACCTTCCGAGCCCCGACCGGGCTCGGAAGAGGCCAAGCAATTCTTGGATACACCGAGGGCCAAGCCGTTTCTGAAGGATTCCAGGATACATGCACTCTGTGAAGGTCATACCGTTTCTGAAGGGCCTTCTATCTGCTCTTTTTTTTCAGGATCTGTCTCGATGCTTCCTTCCTTCCATTCCCACTCTGAACGGTACGTGTATGAGTGAAGACCAACTAACACAGTATTTTAAAAACAATGTTTCTGTGAATGGTGATGTGCACAGCCCTTAGGGTGCACGCGTCACGCCACAAGAGGTAGTCTGGAAGTGACTATGCTCGGTGGTATGGGTGGGCAGAGGTTCACGAACCGCAGTTTCAAAGTTCCAATCCACAGCAAACAAATCAAGGATAAGGAAGACTCTGGCCCAATCCTCTCCAAAGAAAGTAAGCTCAAACCTCCAAATGGTCCTGATGGTAAAGGGCCACTCTCCACAAATCATCGCGTAGATCATCACACCGTAGCTCCAGTAGTCACCGGACTGCGCAGGGGTCATCACGGGCAACGATCGGGGAACGCTTCCAGTAGATCAACCAAAGATCAGCCCGATCAGCCAGTAGATTCAGTCCCTTGAGAAGCAACTTGATAGTAAAGTCCATGCTACTCCTCTCCGCTTGTGAAAAGATTTACTCCGCCGAACCTGATCACAAACTCCTTGGAGCACCTGCGAAACAAAAAACGGTGACCAGTGAGGGTCAATGCTTCCCAAAAAATATGTGGTCTGTAGCATGGAAAGCGCCTAAAACATGCACACCAAAAATCTAAAGATTTTAAGGTTTATTGAGATGAGATGAATGATCGATGGATGGTTTTAAGAAACAATCAAATATATACCGACTCTTACTCACCTAACTTTGACAAGAGAAAACTTCCAAAAAGTTCCGGCCTCGGGCGCCACGAAATCTGGCGAGCCCACCGCCGTTGCGCGGCGGAGCATCGGGGTGCTGTGCCTCTGTTGGAGGGCGTCGCGGCGGTGTCAGCGAAAACAGGGTCCGGTGAAGCCGATGATTTTCAGATCGCAAACACACTAGCAATGGCCTCGAACGTACTAGCCATGGCCTCCAACCTAACAGAAATGGCCTCCAACCTAAGAGCGATGGCCTCCAACCTAAGAGCGATGGCCTCCAACCTAAGAGCGATGGCCTCCAACCTAAGAGCGATGGCCTCCAACCTAAGACCGATTGCCTCCAACCTAAGAGCGATGGCCTCCAACCTAAGAGCAATGGCCTCCAACCTAAGAGCGATGGCCTCCAACCTAAGAGCGATGGCCTCCAACCTAAGAGCGATGGCCTCCAACCTAAGAGCGATGGCCCCCAACCTAAGAGCCATGGCCTCCAACCTAAGACCGATTGCCTCCAACCTAAGAGCGATGGCCTCCAACCTAAGAGCAATGGCCTC